TCTCATCAGTCCCTTGCCTGGTCCTCAATTTAGTGCTACTCATTCACTGTTTTATTTACCACAATTTGGCAGGGAACCTCTTTGTCTAATTGTGATGAAATAAAGTCTTGCATACAATTATTCCATTTGGGGCTGTCTGTGTGTGTATTGCCAGGAGTGTGTATGTGGTGCAGTGGTTAAAGCTCTTGGCTGCTAACTCAAAGGTGGGTGGTTTGAATCCATCTGCTGCTCTACAGGAGAAAGATATGGCAGTCTGCTTCCATAAAGATTTCCAACCTTGGGAATTCTATGGGGCAGTTTCATGTTCTCATATAGGGTTGCTATGAGTCAGATTGGGTTTGGGTTTGGTTTTGTGTGCACTTCCGGGAGAGGGGTGTACGCCCAGAGGCAAACTCCTTAAAGCCAGCAGCAAAGGCTTTCTCTTCAGTACCAAGGAAGTGAGCAGAGTCTCCTTGTTGTTGTTGTTGTGTGCCGTCGAGTCGGTTCCGACCCATAGCGACCCTGTACAGGGTTTCCGAGGGTGTAAATCTTTACGGGAGTAGAAAGCCTCATCTTTCTCCCGTGCAGCAGCTGGCAGTTTCGAACCGCTGACCTTAACGTTCACAGTCCGATTCGTAACCACTATGCTACCAGAGTCTCCTTAGCCACCTAGAACGTTGTGCCACTGGTTGCTTTGTTCTCATTCCTTATTTTGTTTTCTATTTGTATTTGAACCATTCATCCATCCACGTAACTTTTGAAAATTTCCTGAGCCCTTATTTATGTCTCACTCTAGGGACAAAACTGTGAGCAAACCAGCCTTGGCCCCATGGAATTTACAGGTTCAGATGGAAGAACTGCAGGAGAAAATTAGTAACCAACCAACCAGTGCTGTTGTTGTCAAATGCCATCCAGTCAGTTCTGACTCATAGTGATACTGTCTAGGGTTTCCAAGGAGCTGCTGGTAGATTGGAACTAACAAGCTTCAGGTTAGCAGTCCAGTGTGTATCCTACAGCACCACACCAAAATTCCAAATCCAGTGCTAAGAGAATGGAAATAGACACAACTTTGAGTCTACAGAATTACTGGTTAGGGTAAATGATTAACTTGCTTGATTACTAGCCTAGAGATACCTCAGAGGAAAGGTCTGGTGGTTTACTTCAGAAAAATCAGTCACCAAAAACCCTATGGAGCACAATTCTGCTTTGACACAAATGAGGTTGCCATGAGTTGGAATCCCACTGGCTTGGTTTTGAGTAACTGTGCACAACACTCCATTAATAATGATGCCTCTTTCATGCCCCCTGCTGCCTCCATCCTGTATCAGAGGCCCACCCAGAGCAGTGCCTTCCAATCTGTTGGAGCAGCAACATCCATCATGCTGCAGTTGGCTGAAACGTACCCTACAAGCGTCTTCTTGGCTGCCTGGCGTATCTGGACTGGAGACTGCCTGGCTCCAAGCTCCAGAAAGGAAATGGAGATGGAACATAGTCTAACTGAGAATCCAGAGTGGACAATGTTTTCTCAGTGGGAAAGGGGTCCTGGTGTCCAAGAGAATTCTGTGAGGTGGGGACTTGGGGAATGGGGACGCTGGCACTGAGAGGGTGTGGAAAGGCAGGAAGGTGAAAAGGACAGACTGAAGCAAACCAGATGTGTATTGATGTTCAAGGGGCTGCAAGTTTCCTGTTTTTTCCCCGTGAGCCTTTTCCTCTGTTTTTAGGAGAATAATTCTGTTTCATGACAGGATGCCAATTCATAAAATCAGATGTAAAAACTCAAGGGTGTGCATGAGTTTTCCTTCACAGAAGGCCTTTATTTAATAGTCATATAGGAAACAAGCTCATTTCCCAGAGCTCTGATTCATGGAAGTAGTGACTGGGGTCTTTCAAGTATTCTGGGCAACCACTGAGCACTTTGGTGGGCTCAGTTTATGCAAGAAGGTGGAGAACTTCTAGAGTCAGGAGACTGCAGTTTTCTTTCTGGTTCTCCTACTTGTTGGTTTGTGACCCTGGGCAAATCTGTCTCCTTTTTTGGCCCTTAGCTTTCTTTTCTTCAACTGTCCTTGTGGCTCTGGGGTTCTATGAACACTTCACTGTGATTCTATTCGAAAGAGACGTGCTGAGGGAAGGAGGCAGGCAGAGCTCAAGCAGCTGAGATGTAGTAGAGGTGGTGAAGGAAGGCAGAAAGTGCAAGTTTGGTCTGTCCTTATCACATTTGACTCCGGTGGAAGAAATGGCCATGAGCCACAATGATTGAGGAATGCAAAATGGGCCAAATGACCACTGTTTCTTTCCCTAAGCATTGCACAGTGAGAATGTCTGGAGGGAGTTTTTGCCTGGTGTCCAAAACCAGGGCTGGAATAAGTGAAAATGCCAGGAGCTGTTACATTTCACCCTGAGCAACACCTACACAGCTTGATAGCCATGGAGTGGCTGCAATTTAGGCAAGAGGAAGAAATGGGATGAAAAAAAGAGAGAAAGGGATGAAGCATGGCTTTAAAAGACCAGGGTTCATTTAAAGGACAATGGAAACTGACTAGAAATGCCACAGGAATCACAGATTGTATATTCCTAGATTATCTGATGCATTGAGATATTGATTCAAGGGAAGTTGGGAGGCCTGATTTTTAGTCCTATGGTCTTCCTTTACAAGCAGAATAATAAAGTACGGGCATCTAGTCGCTGCAGATTCCAACTCATGGCAACCCCACATCTGTCAGAGTAGAACTTTGCTGCAGTGTTTTCAGTGGCTGATATTTTAGGAAGTAGATCGCCAGACCTTTTTTCTGAGACACTTCTGGATGGAATCGAACCTCAATGCAGTCAAGTACTTTAACACTTGGCACACTGAAGGTAGTAAGATTATTTACATTTCTCTTTATCAGAAACTCTCTTACTCCATAGAGTTGGAAGCATAGAAAGTACCTTACAAAAGAAATCATTCCTAAGGATAAAGGCATACAGATTTGAACTTGGTACTTGCTGACTACAAGATCTTATTTTTGAAAAACTACTGCAGTGATGTTTACTGTCTGATTTTAGGGATTGAGTATTGCACCTTTTAGTCAGCTGTAATAGACATCCATTCATAAGTGTCTCAAATTCAGGCCTAACTTTAGAATCTCTCCAATAAGAACAGAAGGTTTAGATCAAAGTATGTTTTTCCCAACCCCAAGGTAAGTATGCCAGGGCACATCTGATATCTCTGTTTCATAAATACTGGAGATGTTATTGGTGTCAGACAACATATTCAGATGCAAACATTACTTTAAAAGTTACTATTTTCTTTCTCTTTTTTTTCATGTACTTGCAGGAAAACAATGTATATTTATTCTCTCATTAGAACAAACCACTGGAGACTTTCCGGTAATAAAACAAGAAGTTGTTGAATGAATAAATTTGATTCCATGTATTTATGTGTGTGTGGGGGGGGAAGCATGTGAAACCCTTTAGAATATTTGTTAAATACACAGGAAAAAATTTATATATCTTTGGTCAGCTATACAATTAAAATATATTTAAATTTTTATCATTCTACTTGCTTGATAAGTAGAAAAACTAAACTATATATATATAGTTCTTATTCGTACATTGTATTAGAAACTTCTCTGATCTTATAATAGAAAGCATATTTTTTAATCATGTGGGGGAAATTATTGATAAGACTACCACATATGTACTGACTTGAAGAGCCCTCCTATAGTTCTTGGTACAACTGGTGAGTTTTGTTTGCTTTTCTCTTCGAGTTTATTTTTAAAATCATGGATTCTTGATAAGAGCTCCAGAAAGTCAGTGAATTTAGATAGGAAAAAACAACAACAACTGCATCTTTATTTGTAACTAAACATTTAACATTTCCTTCCAATATAAACATAGCACTAAACCTGCTATAGCATTAGCCATACCTGTGATTTTGGCATCACCAATGGAAATTACAGACATCTTTGTACTATGTTAGAGTAGTTGACAGTATCATAAAGTGTCACTTACATTCAATGATTGAAATTAGATTCTCCTGCTAGCTCTTCTTGTTCTTAATGTGCAGTTGGAATTGAATCGATGGCAGTGTGTTTGGTTTTAGGTAAAGAAGTCTATTTCAAATATTAAAAATATTTTGATAATTGCATTTCCATATTATTTGTTTCCTTTATAATTCTCTGTATTTTACACAGTCAAATAAAACACCTCTTTCTGAGGAGGGTTTCAGCAACTTCATCAATGGGGTTCATGTCACACACGTACATACACAGTAAAAACTAGTCCACAGGCTAACATTGACACGGGTGACTAAAATGCAAGACTGAAATTAAGAAGGTCTCCCAAAGATATGCCCACACTAGTTTTAAAGCTAGGAGCGAAGGAAGAATTCTGCTTTAAGCTGTTTCTATAGGAATGCATCAACCTGAAGGCAGGTAGGAATGTTCTGTCCTAGTCTTCTAGCCAGCCTGCTATCTCTCTGTCACTGCTACAAGAATGGACTGTCTTGGACACCTCTCTATCCTGGCTCGTAGCACAGTGCCCAACATAGAGCAGGTTCCCAATAAAGTGTGTGCAGAGTGAAGTGACAATACAAACCAGAAATAGATTCTTCTTGACATTGATGTGTGAATAATCATTCTGGGTGAGGTGGGCATGCATGGATGTATGTGGGCAAAATGGGTATGGATACTGGAGGTGGAGGTACTGGGATTATTATGGAGGTGTAGAGGGTATAAAGTGGGACACCCCTGTTTCAAAGAATTTCAAAACAGACTTCTCAACAGTTATTTTTTTAAGACTCTTGCTAACAGCATGAAAACGACTCCCCTGTTCCTGACCCCACCCGGCCTCACGTGGCCACCACTTCCCACACACATGGAGGACTGGCCCCTCGTATGTATAAAATTCCCTGGAGCTCAGGCATGAGCCAGTAGGGCTGCTCCTCCAGACACCTCACCGAGCAGCAGCGTTTTCCAGGGGAAGCCTCGCCCAGCCTTGGCACTGAGGGCTTCTGTGCACATTTCTGCAGCTGTGGGCTCAGGATGCCAGCTGTCCAGCTGCTGCTCCTGGCCTGTTTGGCATGGGGTTTGGGGGCCAGGATAGCCCAGCTCCAGAAGACCAATGACCAGAGTGGCCGATGCCAGTACACCTTCAGCGTGGCCAGTCCCCATGAGTCCAGCTGCTTTGAGCAAGGCCTGGCCATGTCGGCCATCCAGGACCTCCAGAGAGATAGCAGTATACAGCATGCAGACCTGGAAGCCACCAAGGCCCGGCTCAGCAACCTGGAGAGCCTGCTTCAGCGATTGACCCAGGATCAATCTGCTGGAACCTGGGACACTGAAGACAGGATGCAAAGAGAGCTGGGTACCCTGAGGAGAGAGCGGGACCAACTGGAAATCCAAACCAGGGAACTGGAGACAGTCTATAGCAACCTCCTCCGTGACAAGTCTGCTCTGGAGGAAGAGAAGAGACAACTGGGACAGGAGAATGAGGACCTGGCCAGGAGGCTGGAAAGCAGCAGCCAAGAGGTGGCAAGGCTGAGAAGGAGCCAGTGTCCCAAGACCCTAGACACCTCTCAGGACCCACCACAAGACTCCAGAGATGGTAGGAATGTGGGGTAGAGGGGTCCCGAGTCCAGCAGGTGATATAGTTCATGGTGACCTGCCACAGAGGTCCCAGGCTCCCCTTCCTGCTCTCTCTTGTCTCCCACCGATTCTACATATTGCGCAAAGCAGAGGAAATAAGGAGGGCAAAGCAATTGCTTTCACGTATTATTAGCAATTTAGCTTCTGGTAGTTCTGTTTAATGGTCAATGGTTCCAGGTTCTTGTGTCTGTCCATGACAAAAGTCTTCACAGTTGATAGCAAAATAAGAAATATAAGGAGCAGACGGATATATAAGGTTTTTTTGTTAAGTGCCATAGAGTCAGTTTTGACTCATAGCGAGCAGGTAAATGACCTTCCTAAGGTCATATCGACTCAACAGAACCTAGCAAAAAGAAAGAGATCTGGTGACCATGAACCAAAGAGATGTGGTTCATGATTCTTCATTGAGAGAGAGAGAGAAAGAGAGAAAAGATTCAAGAGATAGAGTTGAGATAATTGGAGAAATTAGATATAGACTTCTTACTAGGTTATACATTAATGTTCAGTTTCTTGGGTGAGATATGATATTATGGTTATGTAGGAGAATATACTTGTTCTTAAGAGATATGTGGAATCCTGGTATGATGTTGCAGGATGAGCTGTGGACTGTTAACTGAAAGGTCATCAGTTAAAACCTACCAGCCGCTTCTTGGAAACCATATCATTTGTTTCATTTTGAGTCGGAACCAACTCAATGATACTTAACAACAAGATGAAGATATGCTCAAGTACTTAGGGGTGAAGGGCCATGATGTCTGCAATTCACTTCCAAATGATTCAGCAAAGACTGCCATTATAGAGAGAGTGAGAGGAAGAAAGGTAAAGCAAAGTGTGGCAAAATATTATCATTCGTTGAATCTAAGTGGGTGGTACCCCCCCCCCCCCAAAAAAAAAAAAAAAGTTGCTGTCAAGGTGATTCCAATTCCTGGTACATCATATGTTTCAAGTAGAACTGTGCTCCCCAGGGTTTTCAAGTCTGTGGCTTCAAATCAGAGACCTCTGGGTGGGTAGTACGAGGGATATTGGCTGTATTTTTCTTTAACTTTTCCTATAGCTTTGAAAATGTTCCGAAAAAATTATAGAGAATTTTTTTAGAAGAAGTTTTCTACTTAAAAAATTTTCTACTTGAAATACAAGCGCTACATAAGTGTGAAACTAGAAAACCTAAGAGTTAAGACCTGGTCTGACCCTGAAAGGTCATTTAACTCGTTGCACCTAAGTTTTTGTCTATAAAATGGCAATGGAAATTTCTAAAGTGAAGTGAATATATTCTAATGGAAGTCAATTGAAGTGACTTTATAAACTGTAAAGGATTTTTAAAATCTTATATAGCTAGTGTTGGAAGAGAACCAATTCTGAATTTTACAAATAAAGAAAGTGATGTACAAAGATGCTAAGAAGCCCAAGGTTACACAGCTGGCTAGTAGTAGAAATTAGACTTAAACTTGACCCTTTGAGAACAAATGAAAAAAATTGTTATTAGCAGTATTGTGAGATATTGATTATTTCAGACTGTAAATGGAATGAATTTAGAGTGTTAACAAAAATCTTTGCATGTGTGTATATATGTGGGGTATCTGTGGTGTGTGTGTGTGTAAAACAAAGGCAGTGTTTTATTTCATTGCTTGTGGTCATTTAATGAGTCTTTGGGCGATTTACTGACATGTTCTCTAATTTCCTTTTTCTTTTCGTTCTTTCCAGCTGCTCTACTTTTAAAATAAGGGCAAAAATGTAGAAGTGGAATGGGATCTATAAACATCTATGAGCTCATTTTTGCAGCTGTGGAAACTGAGGCCAAGAAAGGTTATTGAAATTATCCATGGCTGTCTAGCCAGTTAGGAACATAACCAAGACTAGAATTCAGGTCTTGCCACCTGGGGTTTCATGACCATCCAGGACCCCTAGTTGCCCTCTAGTTTAGAGAACCTATAGATGAAAGGCAAGGAAAGAAATGCTTGAAACAAAAGGCTTTCAAGTCCAAGATTTGGAGTTAAGTGGTATTTGGGGGTAGGCGTGCTTTTATGTCTTTTTGGCAGTACCTGAGATGTGCAGTGTGAGGGCTTGTTGAGGGTGAGTGAACAAAGCTAAGGGCTGAGAAGGTGGGCAGTTTCTGACCATACAGTTGTTGTTCTTGTTGGTTCTGACTCACAGCGCCCTATACAGGGTTTCCTAGCAGCAGTTGGTGGGTTTGAACTGCCGACCTTGTGATTACTCTGCAAGAATTCAGATAGTCACCACCATTTTCCTTATTGTATACTGGTTACATGGGAAAAAAATCTCCTTAGAATCACAGACATCACTTGTTTATATATGCACATATATATTGGAGTCCCTGGATGGTGCAAATGCTTAGCATGCTCAGCTGGTGACTAAAAAGTTGGAGGCTTGGTTCCATCCAGTGGTGCCTCTGAAAATAGACCCATCCATCAGCCATTGGAAACCCTAGGGAGCAGAGTTCTACACTGACAAACATGCGTTTGTCATGGGTCATGCAATGCGAATGGTAGTTGTTAAGTGCTGTCGAATCAGTCTCGACTCATATTGTTGTGCCACGGAGTCAGTACCGACTCATAGCGACCCTATGCACAACAGAACGAAACACTGCCTGATCCTGGGCCAGCCTCACTGTTGTTGCCACGCTTGAGCCCATTGATGATGCCACTCTGCCATCTCACTGGGGGTCTTCCTCTTTTTCTCTGACCCTCCACCCTACCAAATATGATCTCTTCATTTTGAGTTATGCCCCATCAGCAAATGAAGGTCCCGAGGGCTTTACTCCCACACGCTTTACTTCATTCATGTTATAACGGTCACCTCTACTCTGAGAAAGCAGCTCTTCCCCAGTTGTATCTTGAGTGCCTTCCAACCTGAAGGGCTCATTTTCCGGCACTATATCTGACAGTGTTTCTCTGCTATTCATAAGGTTTTTGGAAGTAGTTCATCACTCTTTCCTAATCTGTCTTCATTTGCAAGCTCACCTGAAACCTGTCCACCATGGGTGACCCTGTTTGTATTTATAATACCTGTGGCATAGCTTTCAGAATCACAGCAACACACCAGCCACCACAGTACAACAAACTGACAGATGAGTGGTGGTTCGACTCATACTGATCCTTTATAGAGTTTCTGAGGAACAACTGGTGAGTTTGAACTTCTGATGTTGTGGTTCACAACCCAGTGCTGATCCTACAG